TATAAACAGACAGCAATGTGTTATTATGGATAAAAATACCCATTCAAAATTACTTAAAATAAAATGCGGAGTTCCCCAAGGTTCCATTCTAGCTCCCCTACTCTTCTTGCTATACATCAATGATCTTCCAAAAGTCTCAAAAAAACTTGATGCCATAATGTTTGCAGATGATACAAACTTATTTTATTCATCTACTTCTATCGCAGAACTCTTCGAAACTGCAGGTATTGAACTTGAAAAACTTAATACTTGGTTTAAATCTAACAAATTATCATTGAGTACAGAAAAAACCAACTACATTCTATTTCACACCAATCAGAGGAAAAAATCTATACCAATTCCATTACCGTCTCTAAAAATAGAAAATAAATTTATCGAAAGAACCAAAGCAACAAAATTTTTAGGAATACTTATCGATGAGAATATTTCATGGAAAGCTCACATAAACTTATTAAATACCAAAATAAGAAACAACATTTGCATGCTTTACAAAGCTAGACCGATGCTACCCCAAAAAAATTTAAAGCTACTTTATTTCTCCTTCATTCAAACCTATTATACGTATGGTAATATAGCATGGGCAAGTACCCATAGATCCAACCTAGTGGCACTTTATCGACATCAAAAACATGCTGCAAGAATAGTATTTAATAAAGATAAATTTACTCATGCCGAACCTTTGCTAAAGCTTCTAAATGCACTAAATGTCTACAAAATTAACATTTACCAAAATTTGATATTCATGCTCAAATATAAACTCGGACTTGTCCCATTACATTTTTCAGAAGAATTTTTTAAATGCAATAGAAATAAATATGAAACTCGAGGAATAGGAAATTTTAAAGTACAATATAAAAAAACAAAACTATCACGTTTCTCCATCTCGTATCGCGGCCCTTACCTCTACAACAAACTAATAGCTAAAAATACTATAATTACAAAACTACTTAACCATAATTCTCTGAAAACACTTTTAAAAAAACTTGTTCTAAACTTAAACAATTTTACAAACGTATATTAAAACAAATAACTAAAAACCCCTAAAAAATCCACTTTAAAGCAAAGTAAATGTTAGATTTTATTTATATTTCGTACATGTCAATATACTAAGTATAACAAACCATGTAACTATATATTTATGTGTATCAAATACAGCTCTTTTCCGTTTTTTGTTTTTGATTATCTAGTAGCTTTTTATGTGTGACTCTTATGCCACCATGAGACTTTGACAAACTGAAATTTCTTAATAAATTAAGTATACAAAATATCGCAACTAAAAGCGGTTTCTTGATGACAAGACCAAAATGGTCTTCTGCAAGTTTCCCGCGTCTTTTAACAGTGTTACTTTTTTATATATATTATTATTTGTATTAAAAAAAGTTTTCTTATTATATGTACGGTATTTTTTTTATACAATGTAAACGAACTAGTTTATATTTATGATCACGTATTTGTAAAGCTTTGATAAAAGACAAAAAAAAAAAAAAAAAAAAAAAAAAAAAAAAAAAAAAAGAATAGCTAAATGGATTTATTTTTCTTCCAAACATTAATAATGTCTATGAAAAATTATACAAATTGCAAATAATGTCCCAAGAAAATAGCAATGGTTAAAACAAAAACTTTAAACTGGATTTTAACGAAAAGCTAATAGTGTGTTTATTAACCAAACTTTCACGAGAAAATGTCTTAATTAAAAATAGTTATCTTGGGCAGATGTTAACCGCATCCATCTACTGTCTTGCAGAGGACCTCCTAGCAAAGACTTTAGAGATAAGTAGAATAATTCTGTTGATCAACCTCGAATCTCTTCTTTATTTATTAGGCTAGCGTAGATATAAACCTGATGAATGAATGCTGAATCTTCTTGACTGAACTCATAGATTTTTGTTTGTGCCTCCTTAATATGGCTATTTAACTCTTCCAGTTGTCTCCTAATGAAGGTACAGCTCTAAAACTCAGTTTAATGTTTCCGAGGCCAGCTGGTAATTAGGTTTCCCTAACTTTGTGGTAGCACTCAGATTGACTGATTTCATCCCAACTAAAAAATATCAGAGCATTAACAGCACCATGTTACGCATGGATGGTATCCTTATTGATAATTTTGATGTGCATTGTCAAGACCACATAAAGACCCCAACGTTACATCATTGAGTTAATTAACGGGACCGAGACAACTACATAGTTTACTGCTTGGGATGCCGTGCTCTATCTACGAATAAGTCAAGTTCTTTTTAAACTTAAATTATACCTAAAGTAAACCAAGATATTTGACATAAAAAACCATTCACACCACCTAACTATTTCAACATATCTTTCACTAATATTAGTGGTCTGCGAAGTAAACTTCAGTTGAATCTTACCTCTTGCAAAATTGATGAATCTTACCTCTTGCAAAATTCACCAGACTTGCTTGCTTTTTGTGAAACATTTAAATTCGTCTATTTCTACTTCAGATCTCTGTATTGATGGGTACTACCCTTTATTTCGCAAAGACTCTAACTGTTACATGCTTGGCTTGAACCTATACTTACGCATCAATTCACCTATTTGTCAAAAAATTAGGTTTAAATTAATTGATAATTTTATGTGCTTCCGCTTAGGACCCTCTTCTCTCTATCACCTTTTTTTTTATTCTTTATCGTTCTTCTTCTCAACACTGCGCTTTTTTAGATGTAATTTCTTATCAAATTGACCATGCCCTCTCTCTTTACCCCTCTGCCAATACTGTTGTTATTGTTGACTTTAATGCTCATCACACTAAATAGCATGGCTCTAACGCTACTGACCATGCTGACACTAAAGCCTATAACTTTTGCATTTCTCAATCTCTTACTCAGATAATTAACTTTGTGACTCGTTTTCCTGAAAACTTTAATTAGCTTCACTTCTTCATTATTTCTCGTCTTTGATCCTCGCTCTGATCCTTGATCATTATTTCTCGTCTCTGATCCGTTCAGTTTCTCCTTTTTCTCCTTTAGGTGGTTCTGACCATGCAATGTTCTCTTTAAATCTTTCATCTCGTATTTCGTTTTTGGAGTCACCCTATTATCGCACTACTTACTTCTACCCTAAACCTGACTGGGATTCTTTTCGTGATTTTGTTTCTGACGGTCCTTGGGTTGATATCTTTTCTATCTCCGAGCCTCCCAAGTAACCTGGATCAAGGCCGGATTGTAAGCTTTTATTCCTTCTCGTCGGTTCCAATTCAAGCCTTTTTCTACTCCATTGTTTTAACCTTTTTGTGCGGCAATCGTAATCATTTTTTTTACATCTTTTTCAAAAGGATAACTCTTCTGAGAACAAACGGCTATTTATTATTATAAAAAAGTGATGTAAAAAGGTGTTGTCTGATCCTAAGCTCCGTTATTCTGAGTTCGCTAAACTTCTTGTATCTTATCTCCGCTATTCTATCTTATCTCACTTCTTGTATCTTATCTTAAAAGTCAGACTCTAGAGACTTCCAAAAGCACCTTTAACAAAGGTTTACGATTCCAACTCTCATACATGGGTCTGATCTTATTACCTCTCCCAATGATAAGGCAGAACAAAACAACTATTCTTCTAATTTGGCTAAACAACTTTTCGCCTAATTTGACTCTTGAATCTTATGGCCATCATCTTCCTTCCATTCCAATTCAACAGGTTAGGTATTGCGGTATATCCTCATCCGGCTAATTGCAATATAGAGGCCACATACCAAAGCCCGCCCAGACTAGTTCAGCTCACTAAAGAGCGTCATAACTCGCTTTGCAGACCAAGAATAAGTGATTTTAAGAAGAACGATGGATAATAGAGTAAAATTTAAAAGTTGAGTTAGAAAGATAGAGATATCAGACAGATATTGCGCTAAATGTTAGTTTGTGCAATTTATGTTCATATCAAGTTCACTTGATAGGAACTCTTGTAAGGTATAAAGTTTTTTAAAATATTCGTAACAATTAAACAGGTTAACCAATTGTTATACGTTGAAATCACTCCAAAACTGTTCTCCAGAATCAATTCTATCTTAACTATTTAATAAGAGCTTGGCTGAATCTTGTTTTAAAATATCATCTGTGGTTCCAATTTTCAAAAACTTCGTTGAACATTTTGACCCTACATTTATCAGCAAATCAGTTTTCTTTTTGTTATTAGCGAGGTTTTTGAGTTATTGACTAGCAAATTTCTCACATCCTATCTTGAGTTAAATAACTTACTGTCAGACAATCAATACGGTTTTCGACCCTCTCGCTCTACAGCTGACTTGCTAACTGCTGTGACTGAAAAGATTCTATTGAGTATAAGATGGAGGCGGCGAGGCTATGGATATAGCTCTTGACACATCGAAAGCTTTCGACAAAGTTTTTTCCAGTAACTTCTGGGTTACCCCAAGGTTTTATCCTTGGTCCTGCTTTGTTTCTCATCTATATTGATGATCTTCCTAACAACCTTACATTTAAAGTGGCTTAATTTGCTGATGACTCAACTTTATACTTCTGTCTTGACAAAAAGTCTTCTTATTTTAATTGCCAGCTATATCTAAAAAATTAAAAGTGGTGTAAAGATAAACTTTTTAGTGTGAATTCGTTTTCTTGTCTTCTGTGATGTAAGCGTGACAGATTTTTTTAAAAAATGAATCCATTTCTAAAAAATTTGCTCCGCTTATATCGCAGAACAACCTTGCAAGAAAAGTAATGTAAAAGAGATTTTGTTAAAATTATGTACAAACTTTAGATGCATTAGCCAGTGTCTTTCAATATTTTGTTGTTTATGGCTTTTCCTACAGGTACCATTTAACACCCCACGTCCTCAAAAAAAAAAAAAAAAATTGTTGTTTTTCTCAGTTAATTTTGTTATATACTTTATGCATATGAAGTTAAATTTATATAATGTTGATAATTACTCGAGAAAAATTTTTCAGGGGTTTTCCACCTTAACCAACCTACGGGTAACCAACCAACGGGTAACCAACTTATGGGTAACCTTACTAAACCTTATTTATAATTCTTTTTTATCTATTATACAGCTTGAATTAAAATTACCAAGATTTTCAATATTTACAAGAGGTTAAATAAAAAATTATGCGTATTACAGTTATTTACAATTACTATCTTTCGTCTTTGAACCTTTTATTTCGATGCAGTTCTTTTTCTAGTTCATTTGAAAAATTATCATAAGTTGTTTTTAAAGGATTATCGTCACTAATCAATTCTTTTTTAACCACGTGTCTTCTAGTGCGTATTGCTTGTTTATCTCGAAACAAAGTTGAAAAATCATCTTTGTCTTCAAGTTTATCATTTTGCAATAATTGTAGTTCTTTTCTGGGTACTACTCTTTTAGTACGTTTTAAAAGCAAACTATTTTCAGGATGAGCTCTTATTTTATTAATATCCCGTTTGTATTTATCAACATCCCGTTTGTATTTTGTCGACCATTGGTCAGCTTGTGAACGAGCTTCTCGTATAACTTTGATTTTAGGTTTAATGGGTGCGTTAATAGGTGTATTTGAATTTTGATCTTCAAATAATTTTATCTCGTCATTTTCAGAACGTCGCTCTCTCACTGGTAAAGCAGACGAAAATTTAATAGTTTTTTTAACCTTTTCTCGATGAAGATCGTCAAGATCTTCCCTTTTTTTTCGCGCCAACATATCTTTCCAAAAAAACATTCTCAATACGTATGGTACTTCTAAAAAAAAAAGATGTTGCGAATTCGAGAATATCATGCAAATATAAAAAAAGCACAACAAATTCATTTTTAATAATAGAAATCATTAAAAAAAAAACTTACTTTTATTTGAGGGCGAATTTTTAACAACCATTTTTGGGGAAGCAATAACGCTTTTTGATTGAGATTCTAAATACTTATTTAGCTCATTCACTCCGGAAGTTTTTACCGGTATAATTCGAGTTTTTACCGGCATAATTCGAGTGGAAACAGCTCGATTTACAGAAACAATATTTTCAGGTTTTTGGCTGAACGTAGGATTGAAGGTTTGAAAATTTTTGAGATTTGGAAACTTCAAAGGATTTGGAATTTGTTGATTAAAAGAATGATTCGAGAGTCTGGTTATCTCCTCGTTGAAAACATCTGCATGAGCTAATTTTGTATTAGACAGTTGAGACACCATTGGCTCCGATAAAGTAACAACAGGACTTACATAAGTAGTTTCGAACGAGTTTAAGTTTTTATCGATTTCATTGGTCTGTATTTCTTTCGAAAAATCTTCAGTAAAATTCCCTTCAATAACTTGTGGAATGTAAGCTTGGACAGAAGGTTCGAACAGATATTCTAAAAAATGTATTGAATAAAAAATTAAAACTAATATAACAACTATTATTACATAAAATTTATTTATAAATAATTGTAAATTGGAATCATAGACTGAGAACTTGATTTAGGATTTACTATTAGAATACAAATATTTGTTAACGAGAGTATCAATGTCGACGACGACGGGAATATCAATGCCGGAGCACAGTGGATCGCTTTATACAAGCTAGATGGACAAAACCCAGCTCAAGAAATCAAATTCCATAGTTGTACAATGGTGTATAATTTATTAACTCATCAATCTTTTTGTAACTGAGTTTTTTCAGATGCATGCTCTTTTTTAAAAATATTTTCATTTGAAAAACGGAGGAGTCATAGGAAGAAGAAATTCATGTTAATTGGATTTTAACCTGAAAAAAAATTCTTTTAATAATTTAACTAATGCAACTCGGGATTCAAAGAGAGGTTTTAGCAGTTAAAGAGAGGTTTTAGCAGTTAATGATTTTGTCAAAACCTCCATAAAATGATCTGCAGCACATTCTAGCGGGCGCAAAGACGTTTATTAGACATCTTTTTTGGTGTCTCAGAAATCTTGAGAAATCTAAGATAAATTTGAGACATCTGAAAGACGATCACATATTTGACGTCTTATCGAAATTCTTAAAAACGATCACATATGTCTTTTTACAGATGCAGTTTAAAATATTTTATAGGTAGGGAAGAGTGTGTATGAAAGAGCCAGTTTTAAAAAGGTATGAAAAAAAGTCATAGAAACAACACAAAAAAGAAATAACAGCCAAATTGAAAATTTTTTTTGTGTGTTTTATTATAAAATACCTCCGCTCTATTCTAACCTATATATTACTAAAATGGTAACTACTACTAAATTTGAAATCAAACAAAAAATTATATGGATCACATAAATCACAAAAAAAAAATATCCTGAAACATTTGGCAACATTTTTGATGGACTGGCCTATTAGCAATATATCAATGTAGAGCAAACTTAAATATGCCATATGTATCCGCAGCTTTTCTAGTTCTAAATTTCTTTTTAATCACAACTAAAACTGGATTTCATCCCATTTTGGATGATTGATCTTTCTTATAAAATTTCTTACCTCCTTTGTATACATTAAACACTATTAATAATTGAAGTTAAGTTAAAAAACTTTCTTTGAATTTATTACTAAAATTGCTTTTCTAAATAAGAAAAATAGTATTTTAGATTAAAAACAAAATCATTAAACTGTAAACAGCATCATGGAATACGGTAGTAATATATTCAATTATATAAATAATTGTTGTAATTTACATATTTTATTAATATTTCATTTTACTGAAATTAATACTATTTAAAAAATTAAACTCCAAATATTTTTTAAAAACCGGATTCTAAAAGAGGGTAAAAAATACTGTCTGAAAAATTGAAACCTTTTTTAAAGTAAAGCAAATTCGCAGTAGTTCAAGATCAAGAATCTTTTGTCATTGTATCGCTTAAAAAAATACGCAAATTTTGTTTTTCGCAAACTTACTGATGCATTTTAGTACTTATAATGCATATTCGTATTTCTAAAATTTAATTTTTTTTACAATAAATAATAATTTAAAATGTTTTATCTAAAATAAAATTTTGAAAAAAAATAATTTTTAGCTCAGATAAAAGGCTTCACCCATAATTGTCTCGTTATGCCCCACTGTCCCAATATGCCCCGCACTACCCTAAGATGTCTTTTTTTTTAAAATCTGGAACAAATTGACACATCTGATTTTTTATGCATTTTTTACATATATTTTTAATTAAGAGTTTCATTAAAAAAAAGATGGCCATCTCACGGTCCATGCAAAAAAATATCAAATTTTAAAAAATAATAATCTTTCCATGTCTCTTTATAACCTTTATAGTCTTGCATAGTAGTCGAAAAGTTTCTTCCATAAAATGTAGTTTTAAAGCAAATGCTAATAAACCAGAAATGCCGTTACATCGACTACTAAAAACTTAAAGTTTTTTTCTTTTTTTTTTAAACGATAGATTACTTGCCCAAACCCTTAGTCGATGTAGCAGACTATAAGATAGTCGATGTAGCAGCACTCCCTTGTAGCAGCAGATTATAAGATAGTCGATGTAACAACACTCCGCGCAAAAACAAAAACAAAATTAATTTAAAAAACTTTCTAGTCGTTATTATATAGCAAATGCTTAAGCATTTGCAAGCCAAGCAGTAGCAAACCGTTTACAAAGAGAATTCTTCCTTTGTAATCGCATATAATCGTACGCGAAAGCTGTTAATGTCCCAATAGTGGAATGCTCTTTTTAACATGCCTAGTGCTGTGTTGGCTTTGGCTACAGCGTGTACGACTTGGTCTTGCCACTAAAATCGGTCGTTGACAATGATACCAAGTTGACGCTTGGAGGTGGTCTCACTAAGGCTGTGACAGTTACCAATGCGGTCAGTTATGGTAAACATTACTTGCGAGCTGGGCATGTCGTCAATAAATGCAGTGTTGAAGCAGTTGTTAACTCTCTTGTCAAAGAACATGGTTTTACACTTGTCCTCAACTCGACAGCAGCTCGGAAACGTTTTCTTTATTTATAAGTGTAATTAATCGTATCGGTGCGCTGTTGGAGAACAGGAATATCACCAAGAAGATCCTTGCTATACGCAGAGAAGAACTGTTCGTTTAGCAAGTTGCATATCTCAGTTCCGTCGGATGTTAGCACGTCGTTTCCATTCTCAAGAGCTCTGATACGATTTTTGCAGTTTTTGGCCTTGTTAACTAAGTCATGAAAAAGTCTAGAGTTATCCTTGCATATGATGTTTAGTTCGTGTGTGAAAAGGGCTTTTTAAACAAGTCTTTTGACTTTCCGTGAGGCTTTGTCAAGCTTCGGCTTTACTAGATGTTTTAGGTCTAGGGGTGCTGGAAGAAATAGGGTGATAAAGTTAAGCAAGCAGATTTCTCTTTTGACGCTTGCTTAACTTCATCACTAAGTCATTTCGGGTCTGTTCTAATTGAGAATAATTTGTGGCGAGCTGGAGTGAATAATGATATGACGGTGAGATACACATAACAAATATATTTGTTGGTTCAATAAAATAAAATTTTTTGCAATTGCTTTACAGCATAGCATTTTTCTCACAAATAACTTATATAAGCTCATCGTCAAACTTATATTGTCTCATCGATCATCAATCGATCATCAATAACAATAAATTTCACATGCTTTTGCACTTGACAATCAATGTTAACAGCACATACTAGTCTAGTGACAAAGCCAAGACTCCACAGAATGTTAAATATAGCAAAAAGGGTAAATTTGAGCACAAGATGCTTGTCGAGTTCGCTTCTTCAGTCAAAAGTATTTTCATGAATTTTTTTGTTTTGCAATCAACAAAACCATCTACAAAATGGGGTGTATCTTGTGAAGATTAGTGCTATTTATCAACGCTCATTATGCTGATTGCAATTACGTTTTTTGCTCGGACCTTGCCTCAACTCATTAAGTCAAAACCATGACTAACTGCTATGAGGCCATGACATCAATTTTGTCAAAAAAGTTGATAACCCGTCAGCTGTACCTAAGTATCACCCAATTAAAAATATTTGAGCTAACTAAAAGACAAAGTGCATTAGAGTAACTGGTAAACAAAAGATGTGAAGCAACTACAAACCAGAATAAAGCTTTGTCTAAAAAAATTGACCTTAATCTTGTGTTTTCACTTTTCGGGTCACCTCGTTAAGTAGGACAAACCTGAAGAAACAGACTAGTTGAAAACTAAATAAATTTATATAGTCTTCAAACAGTTCTTTATTTTTCTTAAAAAATAAATAAAGAACTGAAAACTCTATTTATTGATATTTTTTTAGCTTAAATAAAGTTGGAGTAATTAATTAAAAAAGTCAATGTGGACTTTTGGTAGCCACCTGTATAGTACATACTAGTCCCGCCTTTTCTTGTCACCTAGAGGAAGTCGGGGACAGCCCCAAAAAAATCTTATTAGACCCATTTTTTAAAACTAAAAACCAGAGGATTGAAGTAAAATGGTGAAATGCCGAAATAAAGCTACTTTAATCAGAAAAAGTTCAGAAATAAAATCATTAAAGGCTTAAGCTTCTCAGGTCAATTTTTTATAAACAGATGCAAAATTAAAAGCAGGACTTCTAGTGGATATCTTATCTCAGTCTATGCAAATCAAAAAAGTTGTTACCTTTTTAGATGAAATTATTTGTTACAAAAACACGTGCCGAAATTAACCTATAAAGCACACTTAATAAAACTACTAATTTTTTAATCCCAAGTTCTTAAAAATGGTTTCCAAGTTCTTAAAAATGGTTTCCAAGTTCTTAAAAATGGTTTCCAAGTTCTTAAAAATGGTTTCCAAAGTTATTCACATGCACATAAACAGAAATTTACAAACTCTGATAATGCTTTTTTGTATTTTTATTTGTTTTTATTTGCTGATTGAGTGACAGCTAATATATTATTGGCTGATTGAGTGACAGCTAATATATTATTGGCTGATTGAGTGACAGCTAATATATTATTGGCTGATTGAGTGACAGCTAATATATTATTGGGCAAAATCTATTAAGCTTTTTTTTTAAAAAAGAAACAAATAAATTTGTTACAACAGCAACATTCAATTTTTAAAAGCATCTTAATCCAAACACCAGATTCAGCAAATCTCAAATTACTGTTAAGTATGACCTTAAACTCTCAATGATAAACGGAAAAGTGAGAAATGTTTTGACTGACACACAACAAAAAAGTTACATGTGGTGCAACTCCTAAAACAATAAAGACATTGTTAAAAGAAAAATTATGGTTTTGGTTTGTCTACTTTGCATATGCAGATTCTTTTTTTTAGTGCTTGTTAGATACGCACCTTAGCTATCATTTAAATATACTTAAGTACAAGCAAAATTATAGTTATTATAAAAAAATTTTAATTTTGTTAGAAAGTTTTATTACATAACTTATGAGTTAAAAAAATGAATTATTTTAATGATATAATTCATTTTTGTAACACTAAAATTTTAAAAAAGTTTTAAATAACTAAAAAATGGATAACTAATCAATAAAGAAAAAGAAACAAGTTGGACACGGTGCTACCAGGGATGTGGTGGGAATCAAATTTGGAAGCTACCACTAACAATTAATGATATAATTAAACATTAAAAAAAAATTTTTTTTTTAAAGGTTTATATATAATACATACTACTTTCTATTTTTAAATATTTTATTAGAAAATAAAATAATAAACATTGCTTTTTTTTCAAGAAAATTGTTTTAATATATAATTGGCCATACTTGTTATTGATAGAATATAGAATATGATAAATTTAAAATGTTGACCAATGACAAAAAATCACTAGTAACATCACACTGATGTCCAAGTGACATCACACTGATTGTGACATCAAACTAATTGTCAAGTGTCATCATACTAATTGTCATATGACAAATTTTTGTTTTTATGTTTTGACATTCATTTATCAACTCCTTTTTGTTCCAAGAAATGCAAAAAATTTAGTTATATATAATGATCATTTTATTTGCAAGTTTTGTGCATCAAATTATCAAAAGTTTTTTTTAAATTAAAATAAAATAGAAAATATTGCTTTAAATTTAGTAACTTGTGATTGCATTAAATTAATTAAAATCTTCTAAAACTTCATCAACACAATAATGCTTTCAAAAATGATAACAGATAGGAATTAAACAATAAAATTAAAATAAAATAAAACATAAAATAGTAAAATATTTTGGACACCTGTAAGATTTTTTAACAAAATTGATAAAATATGACTAACTAACAGAATAGTTTTACCCTTAGTAGTATTTAGCTAAAATTGTTCTAAAAGATAATATTTGAAAAATATAAAAAAAAATACCTTTAATCTTTAATGATGCTGGTAAAACAGGCATGGCATCCAAGCGCTCCGTTTTTCGCACCAGGGTAAATAGAACACGAGCTACATCCTGAGATTTTTTGTGTTCTTCAAAAGTTAATGTGAAATCTACCAACGTTTTTCTTGGCATGCGATGCGAAATTTCCCTGGTAAAAAATAATTCTAAAAATAAACTAAACAAAATTTGCTAAGAAAAAAAAAAAAAAAGGAAAATAAAAATAAACAGTATGTATTACTATTATTATACAATCTGTGTTTTTCACAATAAGATAATTAAAGTGTTAACCTAGCGTTAACCTGTTTTAGAGATAAATGAAGGTTTTATATTAGAGTTTTTTTCACCTAAATAAGTTGCCGTAGCCACAGCTTAAGAGACTTACCTAACCCAACAGAGATCACTTCAGACCTTACCTAACCCAACAGATGTCATAATCAAGACATATATATTAAGGTGTTTCAAACAAAAAAACCTTATAACATAAATGCATTCTATATTTATGCAATAATCATTTTGTAAAAAACATATTTTATATACAAAAATTATTATAAAAAAATAATTGTAAAAATGCATTTTGAGTAAAATGATAATTATCTTTTATATTATTTCTTTTTATTTGAGACCCAGTTCAACCTATTTTTGAATTTTTATTTTTGATAATATTGGAAATTAGTTAAATACTTTTTAATGAAAGGTTTATTTTAAATCCAGCAATAATTTATTACAATTGTAAACTAAATATTCCAAACACAATTAGACAGTCAGATTTTTTTAAACTATTGTTTTTGAAGATATACACATATAAGATATATGTATATTGCATATGTAAAAAAAATTGTAAAAAACAAAATTTATATGCAAACCTCAAAGACATAACTTCTGCTTTAAGAAACATCGGATCCTTAGCAAATAGATTCTTTAACTATAAAATATAAATATTTCCTTTTCAGTTTAATATTCAGATGTTGTTTAACTAATATTTTCATGAATTAACTAAACTATCAAGAAAAATTTAACTTACAGCTTGCTCAATATTTCCTGTCAGTATTAAATACTTTGTACTATTTGGATTGGCAAGATCACTGTACCAGGACTGTTTTAAAATGACTTCTCCTCGAAATAGATGTGCTAAAAAAAGAAAATTTTATTAACATACATTGCAACACTTGACTCCAACAACCACCAGCTGTTAATTTACTCTGTCACTACCACAAAAACTTATTTTAAATTTTACTAAAAAATTGTCTGTAAAAATAGTTTGTAAAAATACAAAAAATGCTTACTCCCTGGTTCAATTTTGAGGGGCATAGGAGGTGAGTTTTGAAATTCTTCTTCAGTTTCCTTTTGCGGATGAAGGTAAGAAAAGTTAATCAAAGTTTCACCTTCATGCTCAATTGGTTTTTTGTTCTATAAAAACAATAAATTTTGATAAAAAAGTACAAAATCACACACAAAAAAAGACTACAATCAGAAACCATAAAGATAATAAATTCTAGCAAAAAAAGAAAAAAAAAAAAATTTTTTTTTAAACTCATCTTTCAATGAAAATAGCCACAAATTAATGAGACTGTTATCTAAATTACTAACCATTGACACATTCAAATTTTGAAGATTGGCTATATCTTTTTTCTCTGCATCTTGAGTTGCTTTTAATACCTCTTCAGTTGAAAGAATAGGTTGAGGTATGCCATTATTAAAATCATCACTTGACAAAACTTGACTTTTAAAAGGTTTCTCTGGAATATTTGATCTTATTTCTGGTTGGACTGCTAAATTAAGTTAATTGTTTTAATGTTTGTAAAAAAACTAAAAATTTTGCTTGTCATGAATGTTAATTATAATTTACCTCTTAAGTGGTACTTTTCCCTTGGAGTTATATAAACAGGAATAGGTCCTTCATTAAGCTCTTCGTCTACATTTTCTAAATTATAACACTAATGTTGTCATACTTTTTTATTTCATTGAAAACTTTATTTTGTAAGATAAAAATAAAAAAATTTAAGATTAGGAAACAGCTCTTATTTAAAAAAAAGATAAAATAAACATGATAACAAAACATGACAACAAAACATGACAACAAAACTGGGAAGCCATTGCTAAACTTTTAAAAAAAACATAAAATAATAATTTTTGTATTTATTATTTTATTATATGGTGCCAAACCCTTTTATTACATGGTACTTTTATTTGATTATTAGGATGAAATTATAATAAAAAATATATTTACAATTTCATTATATATATATATATATATATATATATATATATATATATATATATATATATATATATATACATATATATATATATATATATATATATATATATATATATATATATATATATATATATATATATATATATATATATATATA